AACTACATGTAGATATCTCTTTCACTAGTAAGATATGTATTAATATGCTCCATATTTGAAGTTGGTAAAAAGGAATTATTTATTCACAACCATTTTATAAGTAAAATTTTTTTATCCACGTCATCTCCATTTGCTAGTTTTCAATTTTAAAAAATATATTAAAAGTTTTAAAAATAAAAAAAAATTAAAACTTAATTAAAAAATATTACGTATTAATAAAACAAAATAAATTTTTTAAAAATATAATATATTCAATAATATATTCATACTAATATTATAAATATACAAAATTAAATATTTACTGATTAAAAAATTTAATAAATCTCACTAATCATATTTATAGTTGAACCGATAAAATGACACAAACTATCATGCAAACATGTTCATGTAGATATCTCTTTCGCTAGTAAGATAATGTATATTGCTCCATATTTGAAGTTGGTAAAATAATTCTTATTCATGACCTATTTTATAATAAGATTTTTTATCCATGTCATCTCCATTTGCTAGTTTTCAATTTTAAAAAATATATTAAAAGATTTAAAAATAAAAAAAAAATTAAAAAATATTAAGTATTAATAAAACAAAATAAATTTTTAAAAAATATAATCTATTCAATAATATATTCATACTAATAATATAAATATATAAAATTAAATATTTACTTATTAAAAAAATTAGTAAATTTTACTAATCGTATTTATAGTTGAACCGATACAAAGTATTTGTATCATTAAAACAACACAAACTAGCATGCAAATATGTTCATGTAGATATCTTTTTCGCTAGTAAGATTATGTGTAGGGGTCTGAAAATTAAAAGAAAATAAAGTCATGAATTAAATGCGAAAGTGAAATAATAGAATTTAGAGTTTTCATTCCTTACACAATAATTTAGAATACCTAATAGGGTTACGAGAATGTTCATTCTAAAAGAAATTACGAAAATCAAGAAAATAAACAAAAAACCAATAATTGAGTATTCTAGAAAGATCTTCACTAGCTTTTGAAGGGAGTCCGGGTGGTGAACTATTCACAGCCATCTTATTGATCGGGATCTGGGTCTTTATCCTCTTAATCTGAAATAGTTAATGAAAGGGTGAACTATACTAGCCTAGTAAGAATATCACACTACTCACCGATACAAAAACTAAAGGTTGGTAAAAATCATAAAAACAATCAATGGAGCTAATGATTTAAATAAATTCATTTATCATAAAAGAAAACCATTTATTGCATATATTTACCGTTGCGAGATTTTCAAAATCGACCTATAAAGGCAATAACTCAAATAACATTACAACCTCATATTTAAGTGAGTAAGAACAATAACTTTTTCTTTTTATTTGCTTATTAGTATCCTCAGGGGCCCATAGGGATGTCCCACTACAGGTGAACCCATATCCAACATTGTCAACAAATCAGCTGTCACATACCCCGTTCGGTATGAGGGCCAAAAATACCATTCCTCGATACCCCGTTTGGTATGAGGCAACATTCACGGTAGGGTTCCCTATGTACCTGGTCCGTCCATCATATCCCAGGATATCCAGTAAGGTTACCATTCATTAATTTACATGACCAAACAATTTTTTATTTGCATATTAATTACAAATTTCATAAATCAACCGTAAATCACGCAAGACAAGTAATATATATATATATATATATCAAAGAAGCACAATTGAATCATTTAATCATTCCAGTATATCATCATGTATTTAAAACTGTAAATTCAACAATCAATTAAACAGGAAAAAAAATAAATGACTAACCAATTTTCGACTCCATTGGTAACCTGTAATTATTCTCAAAGTTTTTTAAATTATACAAAATACCATATTACTGATTATTAAGCTTTAATTCCATAACAGAGAATAAGATGATGGATTTTTACCCGAATCTGTGTTCGAAATACCGAACTTTCTATTGCGCCTACTGGCGGTCCCCGGATTTCCTGAATTTTTATGTGGAGATTAAAACATGTTTCATGTACCTAAAAATACCTCAAAAAATCTAAAATCGGTGTTAAAAACCTTTTTCAGCCAATTTCAAAATTTCGGCACAGTGGCACCATCGCCCGCGGTGACGGTTTGCCTCGACCTGACCGTTTTCTGTCAGTTTTGGTTGGTTTCAGCCGATTTTATATACATACTTGCGAGAAAACACATTATGGGGCCTCAGTTGGACCAAAAAAAGTCAAAAAACAAAAACCTACCAACGGCAAAATTTTTCGGTGTGGCGGCTCCGCCGGCTCACCTTCGCAGTTGAGCTTTTTCTTCGGTCAACCTGTAGAGAACAGAACAGTAAACACAATTGTGAAAAAATCACACGAAACGAGAAACAAAAAGGGGCTCATCGGATGCGATTTTGGATTTTGCCTGCGGCTGCGCTGCCAGAATTTGCTCGTAGTTTTCAGTTCATCTGCCGTTTCTTTTGCTCCAATTTGGCCATGAGGGTGCTTGGAATCAAATTTCAAACGTATAGGAGAATTTTTACCTTTTTTGCTGGTCAGAGGTGGCTCCGGCACAGCGGCGGGCGACATTTGGCTTCCTTCTCGAGTGACTGATTCTTCTTTTTTGGTGGGACGCTGGCGGCTAGGGTTTAGGTTCAGTGTGATATGAGATATTTGTACCCGTTTCGCTTAAATCTGGACCATTCATCGCATTTTATCTCGATCGTTCGATCGCGTTTAAAGAAAAAACGAATATGAACCGTTCATCGCAATTTGATTTCGACCGTCTGATTGCGTTTAAAGAGAGAATGAATATGGACCGTTCATCGCGTTTAATCGCGATTCTCTGATCGTGCTTAAGGAGGGAACATATTCAGACCGTCCACGTGCGCGGGAATGCTTCCGGGTTATTCGATCGCGGGCACATGGATTGCCAGCGTGGCCTCTCGCGTTGCACCGAGTCAGTGTGCCTTATCACACAGTGCGCTCTAGTTCCTTGGGGCTGCTGACTGGGCGGTCCTACGTGGCGTAATTTTTCTTAATTGCATTTTAACTCACAGTTTCTGATTTTTCTTTCAAAAAACCATCCGAACCCAAATTTTCACACATTTTTTCTAAAATTATTTTTAATTTTATTCTCAACCTTTTTTTTTCTCAATTTCACATTAAATAAAATTTTATTAATTTTAAAATTATATTTTTATACATTTTTTTTTAAATTTTAAAATTAATACTGGACCAAATTTCGGACCCGGGTATTATATTATGTATATTGCTCCATATTTGAAGTTGATAAAAAAGAATTATTTATTCATGATTTATTTTGTAAGTAAAATTTTTTATCCATGTCATCTCCTTCTGCTTGTTTTCAATTTTAAAAAAATTTACTAAAAGATTTAAAATAAAAAATTAAAACTTAATAAAAAATTATTAAGTATTAATAAAACAAAATAAATTTTTAAAAAATATTTAAATATAATCTATTCAATAATATATTCATACTAATATTATAAATATATAAAATTAAATATTTACTGATTAAAAAATTTAATAAATTTCACAAAATTTCACTAATCATATTTATAGTTGAACCAACACAAAATATTTATATCATTAAATTTTTTCACCCACTTTATATCAATTTAGATCTATTTGTAGTTGCATTTTACTCTATTAGCTGCAAGTTTTTATTCGTTCCGCCCGGGGTGATTTAGAACGAGTTAGTGGTAACTCACAGGTAACGTGGCTCACGTCGAAAGATCAATAAGTGGCACAAATATTTCTCCCCTAGGCACGTGCACTTTGAATCTCTGCCCTTCTAATTATTTATTTAAAGATTAAATAAATATAAAATTGTCCGACTGTTTACATCATAAAATCATGTTTATCCATCAACAAAAAATGATGATTCGTTCGCATTACTTACTTCCCTTTTCTTTTTATAAACCACTTTAACATCCAAACAAAACAATCTCCAGTTCGCGAAATTTCTTTTTTTAATTTTATTTATATTTTAATAAAAATGCAAATTATTCAATTCTCCTCTCTGACTGCTCCTTAACCTGTAAGCCTCTTCTTTGCTAATGCATGAGCTCTCTCTCTTATATCTTATGTAAGCTCAGATGGAGACACGTCTGTAAACTCTCCTTCTAAAGCCGTCTATCTCGCTATCTTTCTTTCATTTTTAGTTTTCTTAGTCTTTCTCAATGGCGATATCAGAGTCATCGCCACAGAGCATGGCCACCGCAGTCGCCACAACCACCAGCACCGCTCACGCCGATTCAGATCTCAACTGCTATCGTCGAAGAAAATCCGCCTCCACCACAACTATGGCCGTGTCTGATTCCATTTCCGACTCTGCCGCACCCGAGGCCAGTAACGCCGCAACTGAGGATCATCTGGCGGGAAACAACACCGAGCACCGCAGGGATCGGGTCGCCTCTTTAGATGGCGCCACGGAGTCCGCCAATTTGATTGGCGGTGTTGGAAATGAAATTCTCAGAAACGGAGAGGATCGGGAAGGAGGAGGATCGGATATAAAATTCACGTATAGGCCTTCTGTTCCGGCTCATCGAAGAGTCAAGGAAAGTCCTCTTAGTTCTGATGCAATCTTCAAACAGGTAGTTTGCATGACGCTTATCTGTTTACTAGAATTCCTTTTTTCTTGCTAATTTAGTGTTGTCTCTACTTTGATAGATTTTGCTTGTAGTTTTTTATTCTTTTACTCGAGAATGGAATTCGAGTGTTTATATTTCAAAGTTCTGTAGAAGGTTTTCATTTTGTTTTGATGAATTATATTGTAGACGATTTTTTTTGTCAAACGATTGATTCGTTTAGCTTTCTCAAACTGAGGCACCTTGACACCTAACGTCAAATGACTGTTTTACTTACAGACGTTGTTTCATTGTCAAGTTTTAGTTTATCTGTTTTGTTTGAAATTGGTTGAATTATGCTAGCTCCTTATGCTCGTTAACAATTTTTGGCAGAGTCATGCGGGCCTCTTCAACCTCTGTATAGTGGTGCTCGTTGCTGTAAATAGCAGGCTCATAATCGAGAATCTGATGAAGGTTTTTTTCCTATCTATTTTTACTCGTAATTCAATAGGATGGCTGTTTCAATTAATTGATGGTTTACCTTTCAGGTATTGGTCAGCACATTTACTCCTTACTTTAATTGTTCTTGCAGTATGGTTGGTTGATCAACACAGGTTTCTGGTTTAGCTCACATTCATTGAGAGATTGGCCACTTCTAATGTGTTGGTAATGTTTGTTAAACCTTGTCCTTTTAACTTATCACCGAAGAATTATTTGCTTGTGAAATATGTTCCTTGTTTTCTTTTTTCTTCCATTTTCTTAGTTGGATCAGAGTTATAATTTTCTTTGCAGTCTTACTCTCCCAGTTTTCCCACTTGCTGCTTTCATCGTTGAGAAGCTCATGCAACAAAAGTATATATCTGAACCTGTGAGTCAGTCAACTCCAAACTTGTGCACCAATTTCCCTTTTTAAGAAGTTTGTTACTGAATCTACTTTTAAATGTAGACTCTTGAGATTTGGTAACTTTTGATTTATGAACTTATCCAATGATGCAGGTTGTAGTTTTTCTTCACATAATCATTACTACGGCTGCAGTTGTGTATCCAGTTGTTGTGATTCTGGGGTTAGTTTTGTTCTTTCTCTTGCAGTTTCATCCTAAGGTTATACTCGCAGTTGGTATTTGTTTGTCTATTTTCAGGCTACTGACCAGCATTTGGAAAATTTTTCAGTCTTCCAACTTACTGGAGTTAGATGTTTATAGTAAAACCTATATTAGAATCATGCTGAGTGATCAGAAAGATGCTAAGTTCAAAGAATGCTCCAATTGTCACGTGTGTTATTGTCAGAAACCTTACTCATGGTTCTGATTTAGTGAAGAAGAACAGAGGGAAGGTAGAGGAAGAGACGAGAGAGAGAGAGATAGAGAGAGAGAGAAATCATTTAGAGACTAATTTCTTTGATGCTTTATTCACTCAGGATGGCC